CAAAATTAGCCAGGCATAGTGGCACATGCCTGTAATCCCAGCTGCTCTGGAGGCTGAGGCAGGAGAATTGCTTGAACCCTGTAGGCGGAGGTTGCGGTGGGCAGAGGTTGCGGTGAGCTGAGATGGCGCCACTGCATTCCAGCCTGGGCAACAAGAGCAAAACTCCATCTCAAACAAACAAACAAACATGTAGGTTCGAATATCTGAGGTCTTGCTTTTCATTCTTTGAGTATATACCCAGAAGTTGAAGTGCTTAATTGCATGGTTTTTTTGGTTTTTTTTTTGGAGACGGAGTTTTGCTCTTGTCACCCAGGCTGGAGTGCAGTGGCAGGATCTTGGCTCACTGCAACCTCTGATTACTGGGTTCAAGCAGTTCTCCCTCCTGAGTAGCTGGGATTACAGGCACCCACCACCAGGCCTGGCTAATTTTTGTATTTTTAATAGAGATGAGGTTTCACCACGTTGGCGAGGTTGGTCTCAAACTCCTGACCTCAGATGATCCCCCGACTCAGCCTCTCAAACTGCTGGGATTACAGATGTGAGCCACCTTGCCTGGCTAGTAATTTTTTTTTTTTTTGAGACAGTTTCACTCTTATTGCCCAGGCTAGAGTACAGTGGCACCGTCTCAGCTCACTGCAACCTCTGCCTCCCAGGTAGAAGCTATTCACCTGCCTCAGCCTCCGGAGTTGCTGGGATTACAGGCACGCATCACCACGCTTGGCTAGTTTTTGTATTTTTAGTAGAGATGGGATTTCATCATATTAGTCAGGCTGGTCTCGAACTCCTGACCTCAGATGATCCCCTCGCCTCAGCCTCCCAAAGTGCTGGGCTTACAGGCCTGAGCCACCATGCCTGGCACCAGCCAGTAATTCTATATGTAATTCTTTGAGGAACCACCGTCTGTTTCCCAGCACCGCACCATTTACATTCACACCAATGGTGTGCAAGTGTTCCAGTTTCTCCACGTCTTCGCCAACAGACTTGTTGGGTTCTGTGTTTTAGATAATATCTGTGCTAGTGAGTGTGAGGTGGTATCTTGTTGTGGTTTTAATTTGCCTTTGCCTAATATCCATGCCTTTCCCAGTGTGACATGGCAGCTCCTCCCATCAAGCAGTGACATCTGTGGTGGCTTTATGTCTTGCTTTGGTCTTTAGAATGTGGTGGAGTGAGGTTGTACTGTGAAAGGAAAATAAGTCTTCCAAAAATCACTAAGCCAGAGGGAAAAGTCAAGCTGGGAACTGCGTAGAGCAAACCTGCCTCACATTCCATTCCTAAATAAGACAGCTACAGATATTTATTTTATTTCATTTTATTATTTATTTATTTTTCAGGCAGAGTCTCACTCTGTCATTCAGACTGGAGTGCAGTGGCACAATTTTGGCTGAAGTGCAGCGGCATGATTTCATCATGTTGGTGAGGCTGGTCTCAAACTCTTGACCTCGAGTGACCAGCCTCCCAAAGTGCTGGGATTACAGGCATGAGCTACTGTGCCAAGTCAATATTTTAAAAAGCTACATGCCTCCCTTACAATTTACCCATAAGGAAATTCCTTGAGGACAAAGAACAGGCAATACTCGAAGTCATCCCTCTGCTCACATAAGACAAATATGTATCTGATTGCTTCCTCTGCCCTATCGTTTCACTAAGCCAGACTAAGGCAAAAGTGACTATTCCTGTAAATTGTACATTCAGTGAAAAGCTAATCAGAAATTCAAAAGAATGCAACTGTTTGTCTCTTATCTATCTGTGACCTGGAAGACTCCTCCCCACTTCGATGTCCCACCTTTCTGGGCCAAATGTACATCTTACACATATTGATTGGTGTCTCATGTCTTCCTAAACTGTATAAAACCAAGATGTGTCCTGACTACCTTAGACACATGTTATCAGGACCTCCTGAGGCTATGTCACAGGCATGTCCTTAACCTTGGCAAAATAAACTTTCTAAGTTGACTGAGACCTGTCACAGATACTTTTTGGTTTACAGTACCCATTACGAGCTTAGGCTTTGGGAGGCCCTGCATGCTTCTACTCTCATGGGAAATAGAGTGCCATCCGCTCCCCTAGGATCAAGCCCGGACTAGCCTGCTGGAGGGAGGGAGCCACAGCACCACCTCAGACACCAGCTCGCCAATGGCAGAGGTGTGTGAGGCTGTGCTAGACCTGCCAGTCCAGCTGAGCTGCTGGATGACTGCAGTGGAGAGCCTAGCCAGGGTCAGCCAAACCTGGCCCAGAGCAGAGACACTCAGCGGATCCATAGAGTCGTAAACAATAATAAGTCACTGCTTTCTTAAAGCAATGAAGTTTGTGGTGGCTTCTTATGCAACGATTGCTAAATGCTATGTCAGTGTCCCAACTCCTGCTCCAAGTTTTTTCCCACATCCCAAGGACAGACTGTCCTGAACTGAGACAAAGAAGGCAAAGCTCTCACCTAACTCCTAGAAGACATCAGAGCAACCCCTTACCTGGTGTGTGGGACACAGAGGTTTGGGAATGACTCTCTCAGAATCTAATCTTAAGTACTGCTCTTCATGGGACACCTTTGGTCCAATCCTCCTGTAGGTCTGTAGACCCTCCAACCTCCATCACACACCAGCTTCCCCTTCCTCCCTAGGAGGCAGGTGGAAATTAATCAAGGTGACTAAAGTCCATGCAGTTCGTGTGTGCCCCAGAAGATGAATGAAAGTGAGGAAGGAGAAAAGGCTGGCACGATCCCCTCAGAGGCCTCTACTTTCTGCTTTTGAGACTCTCCACACAGGGACCTGGGAATATTTACTTTCAATATGCTCCCTGGGTGGATCCAAGGTGCAGTCAGGTCTAGCTACTGTGGCAGAAGGCCAGGGGGAGTTGTGAAAGGTTCAAGCAGATGAGGGGCCTGGTCAGACTGTCAGCAAATGCAAGTCTCTGCTCACCGGTTGGAAGCCAGATACGAGAAGTAAGATGTGATAAAAGGAAAGCAATTTTAATAATCAAATGCTAGAAATTAGGAAACGGCCAGGCTCATGCCTGCAAAAGACCATTTCATATTTTGGCCTGGGTATGGTATTTAAGAAGGGAAACTTGGTATGAGAAGCATGCAGGAATGTGCAGGACAGAGGGTCTGTGTGTCTTGTTCCGACAGCTATCTTGAGTTATTGTCCACCTAAGCACAGGCTGGGGCTATCTCTACACTGCCCAGCTTGTAGATTAACTGCCTTGAGGCCATCTCCAGATGGGGAGGATTCTGCAACTGGGTCTTCACCCGTGGTTATTTCGAGATTAGTCCCTGGAATTTCTAAGCAACTCCATAATTAGATAAACTAGCCCAGTGCAGTGCAGGGAGTATCTGGTGGGAAGGGAGAGAAACAAACAGTTTGTTTCAAGGCCAAGACTAGAGAAAGGGAGAGAAAAGGTTTTAAAATGCATTTTGAAGCTAAGCTGCTCGGTTACGAGACCATGATGTAGGGCGAACCCTGCCCCTGCCCCCAGGGGCCCTGATCTCATGTCCATAACAGAGTTTCTCCCACACCCACCTCATCCTCCCAGGTGGAGTTAGGGTCTTCCCCCACCTATCGCCGCCCATGGACTAGGCACAGCCTGTGGTCATCACCACCCCACACACCTTCTCTCCTTTGGTTTGTGGGCTCCGTGAGGGCTCCCAGCAGTCAGCCCAGGGCCCAGAACAGGTCACACTGGGATCAGAAGCACAAACCCCTGAAGCTGAATAAGTCACCTTCCCATCCTGCAAACCTTGGGCAAGTGTGGCTCAAGTATTTTGCATTTGTGTTTTCTTATCTAAAAAATGAGAATAGTAATAGTACCCACTTAAGGAGGTGCTGGGAGGATTCAATGATAGCGGCACACAGGATGAACCTAATAAATGGGACATATTGGGTGTGTCCATGTCCAAATGTGTTTAGTTGATTATCAAAATTTCAAATCCAAAAGAATTATATTTTAGTGAAGGTATAATACGCAGGTCTTAAGTATATATGAATGTGCTCAAGCTCCAAATGCAGAAATTGTCTCTTTCCAATGAATTTCCCTCCCCACTAGAGGCCACCACTGCTCTTACTTCTAATGTGATCGGCTAGTTTCGCCCGTTATTGAACTTCAAATAATGGCATCTTAGAGTCCTCATTCTCTTTGCGTCTGGCTTTTTCCATTCAACAGTGGCTGGGCATCGTGGCACGAGCCGGTAAACCCAGTACTTTGGGAGGCCAAGGCTCCTGGGACCATCGCTTGAGCCCAGGAGTCTGAGGCTGCAGTGAGCTACACAGCTGGTGCTCGACTTACAACCACGGTTGGGACCGCTGACCGGTCGTAACACGATTTGGTCGTAAGTTGAGTAGGCTATATGTACAGTTGAAATGGTGCACGCGGAGATGATAGTGCTGCCGGAAGCTGGTCCGCACTGTCGTACGCCCAGCTGGGCAACGTTCACGCTGCCAGACGCGGAGTAGTCCTGGCTAGCGATTGTGGTCGTAAAGTCTAATGGTCGTAAGTTGCATAGGTGGTAAGTCAATCAATACTGTAATCTCACCACTGCACACTCCAGCCTGGGCAACAGAGCAAGACCGTCTCTAAAAAACAAAACCACCATTATGCCTATGGGATTTTCTCATGCTTTCAAGTTTATCAGTAGTTTCCTCCTTTGTATTGCTGACTAGTATTCATTTTATGAATACACCACAATTTATGCATTCTCCTGTTGACGCATATTTGCGTTACTTCCAGCTGGGCTATTACGAACCTGCCCTACTAAAGCAGGGCAGGTTCTTGGCTTGCCCAGTAAAACTTGAAGAGCCAGCCAGAAGTAGAAGAAAACAGCTTTGCTGAGGCGGTGGCAGCACTGTTTACAGCTCCAGTGACTGTTCTAGCACAGCAAGACTTCCCCCACAGGAACTGTGCAGAGGGTAGGAACCTATGGGTAATTTTGTAGGCGTATTTAGGTCCACTGCGACACATACGTTAGTTAAGGGGCGGGTCATTCAGAATTAGCTAGAAAGTGGGCGGGAGCTTCCGGTGTTGCCTCAGCGAGGGGCGGTAACGTCCGGGTGTTGCCACGGCAACGGTAAACTATCATGGCGGTGGTGGGCGTGTCTCATGGAGTGGGGCTTTCAGCGCCTCTTCCCAGTTACCGCCAATCTTCAATCTGATGTGGAGCCCTGTCCTGGCTGCCTCCTACCTCATAATGAACATTTGTTTGTGCTCGATATTTTTTGATGAATGTATCATTTGACTTGGGTAAGTAGCTAGGAGTTGCTTAAGTCTTAGAATTTGTTTAACTTTATAGAAAACTGCCAAACAGTTCTCCAAAGCAGTTGTACCGTTTCAAACTCACGCCTGCTGGCCCGGCGCAGTGGCTCACGCCTGTTATTCTCGCACTTGGGAAGCCGAGGTGGGCGGATCACTTGAGGTCGAGACTTCGAGATCAAACTCACGCCTGCAGTGTATTACAGTTCCACTCGTTCCACAACCTTGGCAGCATTTGGTGTCACTCTTCATTTGAGGTGGTGCTGATGGATAGGAAATGGTGTCTCTTGGTGGTATTACTTTGCATTTCTCTGATGGCTAATGATTGTGAGTTTCATGTACTTAATGGCCGTTCATAGATCTTTTATGAAGTGTCTGTTCATTTTTAATCATTTTTTTTTTGAGATAGGGTCTTGCTCTGTCGCCCAGGCTGGAGTGCAGTGGCATGATCATGGCTCACTGCAGCCCCAACCTCCCTGGCTCAAGCAATCCTCCCACCTTAGCGCCCCGAGTGGCTGGGACCACAAGCCCACACCACCACTGCCTGGCTAATTATTTTTATTTTTATTTAATTCTAATTTTTTTTTTTTTTGAGACGGAGTTTCACCCTTGTTGCTCACGCTGGAGTGCAATGGCGTGATCTCAGCTCACTGCAACCTCTGCCTCCCAGGTTCAAGCAATTCGCCTGCCTCAGCCTCCCAAGTAGCTGCGATTACAGGTATGCGCCACCACGCCTGGCTAATTTTGTATTTTTTTAGTAGAGACGGGGTTTCACCATGTTAGCCTGACTGGTGTTGAACTCCTGACCTCAAATTATCCACCTTCCTTGGCCTCCCAAAGTGCTGGGATTATAGCCTTGAGCCACCTCACCCAGACATTTTTTATTTTGGGGAGACGGGGCCTCCCTATGCTGCCCAGGCAGGTCTTGAACTCATGGACTTAAGCAGTCCTCCTGCTTCCACCTCCCAAAGTGTTAGGATTACAGGCATGAGCCACTGTGCCCTGAGTTTTTCCATTTTAGCCATCCTAATTGTTAGGTAGTAGTAGCACACAGTGAGTTTAATTTATATTTCTTTTTTTCTTTTTATTTTTTTGTGAGACAGAGTTCCACTCTTGTTGCCCAGGCTGGAGTACAGTGGCACAGTCTCGGCTCACTGCAACCTATGCCTCCCGAGTTCAAGTGATTTTCCTTCCTCAGCCTCCCAAGTAGCTGGATTACAGGCATGTGCCACCATGCCCAACTAATTTTGTATTTTTAGTAGAGACAGGATTTCACTATGTTGGTCAGGCTGGTCTGGAACTCCTGACCTCAGGTAATCCGGCGGCCTTGGCTTCCCCAAGTGCTGGAATTACATTTGGATTTCTATTTTGACTAATGATGTTGAGTATCTTTTCATGTCACCCATGTAATCTTCATAGTGAGTATCTGCTCAAATCTGTTGTGCATTTTTTATTTTTTATTTTATTTTATTTTTTTTTGGAGACAGAGTCCCCCTCTGTCACCCAGTCTAGAGTGCTGTGTTGTGATCATGGCTCACTATAACCTCAACCTCCTGGGCTCAAGTGATCCTCCCGCCTCAGCTTCAAAAGTAGCTAGGAACACAAGCATGCACCTTTACACCTGGCTATTTATTTATTTATTTTGGTAGAGACAGGGTATCACCATGTTGCCCAGACTGGTCTCCAACTCCTGGGCTCAAGCAATCCTCCTGCCTTGGCCTCCCAAAGTGCTGAGATTACAGCCTTAGTCACGCACCTGGCATGTTGTGCATTTTTAAATTCGATTTTTAAAATTGAGTTTTGAGAGTTCTTTGTATATTCTGAATATAAGTCCTTTATCAGGTGTATTATTTGGAAGTATTTTCTCCAGTCTGTCTTTTTATTTTCTTATCGGTGTTTTCAAAAGAGCAGAAATGTTAACTATTGGTAAAGTTCATTTTATCCAATTATTCTTACATGGTTTTGTCACTTAGAAGAAGGCCAGGCACTATGCCTCAGGCCTGTAATCCCAGCATTTTGGGACGCAGAGACAGGCAGACCACCCTGAGGCCAGGAGTTGAGACCAGCCTTGCCAGCATGGAGGAAACCCTGTCTCTACTAAAAATACAAAAATTAGCCGGGCATGGTGGTATGTGCCTGTAATCACAGCTACTTGGGATGCTGAGAGAGGAGAATCTCTTGAATCTGAGAGGCCAAGGTTGCAGTGAGCCAAGATTGCACCATTGGGTGACTCTGTCTCTTAATTAATTAATTAATTAAATTTAAAACAAGAAATCTCTGCCTACTTCGAGCTCACTAAGGTATCCTTGCTTTCTTATGGAAGATTCATGGTCTTAGCTATGTGTGAATTTGGTTATCTAGTTGTTGCAGGACCACTCATTGAAAAGCTTTCATTTCCCAACTGAATCATCTTGTCCTCCTTATCAAAAATCATTTGATTATATGTAAGGGTCTATTGGTCGACTCTAATTTGTTATGTCGATCTATTTGTCTGTTTTTGTTGTTGTTGTTGTTGTTGTTTGAGACAGAGTTTTGCTCTTGTTGCCCAGGCTGGAGTGCAATGGCCTGATCTCAGCTCACTGAAACCTCTGCCTCCCAGGTTCAAGTGATTCTTCTGCCTCAGCCTCCCAAGTAGCTGGGATTACAGGTGCCTGCCACCACACCCAGCCAATTTTTTTTTTTTTTTTTGAGAAGGAGTCTTGCTCTGTCACCAGGCTGGAGTGGGAGTGCCGTGACGCGACGTTGGCTCACTACAACCTCTGTCTCCCGAGTCCTCGGCCTCCTGAGTAGCTGGGACTACGGGAGTGTGCCAGCGCGCCTGGCTAATTTTTTGTATTTTAGTAGAGACGGGGTTTCACCATGTTGACCAGAATGGTCTCGATCTCTTGACCTCGTGATCCTCCCACCTCAGCCTCCCAAAGTGCTGGAATTATAGGCGTAAGCCACTGCACCTGGCTTATTTGTCTGTTCTTATTTTGATACTGCACTGTCTTGATTACTATAGCTTTATAGTGAGTCATGAAATTAAAAGAAGTAAGTCCTCTGTAGGACTGAGGGCCCCACAGAGTTGTGGGGTGAGCCTTATGCTATGCTGAGGTGCAGGATCCGAGAAATAAAGAGATAGGACACAGAAGTACAAGGAAAACGCAGCTGGGCTCGGGGGGCCACGCCACCTATAAGCTGAGTCAGGTGAGGCCCCAAATGTCCAGAAGCATGAATATTTATTGTGTATAGGTTAGGGGGCAGGGCAGTGAGTGAAATCATCTTTAAGGATAGTGATAGGGTCGTGAGCAATAAAACATGGGGTCCACCCCCATTAGGTCACCTAGGCCGGGAGGTGGACAGTGCACAGCAAGGGGCCCGTTCCCATGAAGGCAAGGGCCCTGTGCAGTAAGGGGTCCACCCCCATTAGGTCACCGAGGCTTGAAGGTGGGCTGTGCGCAGTGAAGAGGGTGCAGTGTGCGATACTTCTATCTATGGGCAAACTACTTCTAAGAAGATTTATAGGAGGATGCTTTAAGTCACAGTGACAGAGCTGTCAAGGTTACCGCCACCTTCTGGCAGCTTCCAATGGATTCTGTGGGAAGATGCTTTTCAAGCAGCACAGTAGTAAGAGCTGGTAAAGTTCACAGTCACCAAGGTGGATTGCCGTTCTGAGGGCAGCCTTCCACAAGAACTGGAGCAAGCTCCTACAACTCCTTTATCAGGAACAGTGGCTCTCGCCCTAAGCCTGCCATACAGCGGGTATCTTTACGATACTGAATGCTGCCGCCTGGGCCATGGATTCTTGTCCCGGTATAACTGTTTTTCCCTTAAATCATACTGTGCACTGTGTCTGCCCTAGACATTCTTCTGATTATAAGCTGCTTATTCCTTAATTCATGCTCTGTACTGTGTCCACTCTAGGCATTCCTCTGATTATGAACTAAGATATAATTATATATATATATATATATGTAGGGAAATATTCTTTAGGCACTCATACTGTCAACTATTATATGATTATATATACAGGATTATATAAAGGGATTCTTCAAGCCCTAATTCTATAAACTAATATATGATTATGTAAAGGATTATATAACAGGAAATAGCTGAGTAGTAACACTATAAAGTGAGGTATTCCTCAAGCCCTAACTGTGCCAGAGTTCTGCTTAGCTCTCATTCCTTGGTGCCTATATGAGGGGTTACCCACGGTCCTCCAAATTTATTGTTTTTCAAAATTGTTCTGGCTATTCTAGACTCTGCATTTTTAAATAAATTTTAGGGCCAGGCATGGCAGTTTATGCCAGTAATCCCAGAACCAGGGGAGGCCAAGACAGGGATTGCTTGAGCCCAGGAATTGAGACCAGCCTGGGCAACATGGTGAAACCCCATTTCTACCCAAAATAGAAAAAAATTAGCCAGGCAGTTGTGGTGTGCCTCTGTAGCCCCAGCTACTTGGGAGGCTGAGGTGGGAAGAACATTTGAGCCCAGAAGGTCAAGGCTGCAGTGAGCCATGATCATTCCACTGCATTCCAGCCTCAGCAACACAGTGAGACCCTGTCTCAAAACAAACAAACAAGCAAACAAAAATTGAGGATCAGCTTGCCAGTTGCTGCTAAATAGCCTGCTGGGGTTTTTAATTGAATTTCTGTTGAAACTTTAGGTGAAGTTGGGGAAAATGAATATCTTAAAAATATTCAGTCCTCCCATCCATGAACATAGTGTATCTCCACATTTATTTAAATATTCTTTAATTTCTGTCAGCAACATTTCATAGTTTTCAGTGTATAAATTATGTATTTATTCATTAAAAGTTGATAATTTTGATGTCATTATGAGTGGTATCTTATATTTTTCCAATTGTGTGTTGCTAGTATATATAAATATGGATTTTTGTTATATTGATCTTGTAGCCTGCAGCCTTGCTAAGTTCACTTATTAGTTCTTGTATATTTTATCTATTTTATTTTATTTATTTATTTATTTTTTTAAAGATGGGGTTTCAC